AAAGACCTTTCTAAATGTTGATTTCAGCTAATCAGAGAAGGGTGGTTTCCAGAGATGGCATGCTCTGCTAGAAAACGCACAAAAATGGGAGCCAAAAGACCTAATTTTTATTTCTTAAACAAGGCACTACACCCCTTTATGCCTCAATTTACCCATCAGTAAAGCAAGGCCTCACGTGGAGGACCCCATGTTCTTAATGATGCCACTTTTTAGATGGAACTCTGCCCAGATCAGCCTAAAGGGCCTTTCTGACTTCCTACACCTCAAATCCAGCATCCCATGGGGTTATCAAGCTTACTAGGGATTCTATTCAAAGAAATTATGCTCAAAAAAGGAAAATTTCTATTGTAGGATGTGAAAGAAAAGGAAGAAAATGGAAAATATAAGAAGGAAGAGATAACGGTGAGGTCAAAGCTTACAGACAGGTTTAAACTCCACACTTAAAATCTCTGCAGAATCCTGGGAGATAACATGCTCTCATCCACATCAGGACTTTTGGACAAGGGAGGAATCTTACTCTACAGAAGAGTAAATAATTGAGGAGCGAATACTAAGCATCCCTGTCATTGAAGGCCCTTCCTCCATCCCCCCAGCCAGCAAAAATTTCTCACTGCCCTTCCTTCTCCATACATTCCACCTCTCTACTGCTTGTCAAATGCCCCCTAGCTGACTTTAGGAATTTCATTGTCTCACTGTCTTCTAGACCGTGGATTCTAGATGTTTGGCTCTGAGACCATGAATTCAAGTTCTAGACCAACTTTACATTTGCTAAATGAAAGACCGCTTCCTCATGGTTTCACCTTTTAGTGACTCCAAATATTAGCAGAGTTCTTCAAAATTCCACCACATTATGTTGAATGGAATGCATAGAGAAGTGGTTCTTGATTAGAGAGGAGGGGCCCAGCAATCGTGCCCTTCCGGCAACGTTTGACAATGTTCTGTGACATTTTTGTTGTCACAAATGAGGAAGAGGATAATACTGGCACGTGAGGGGTAGAGGCCAGGGACACTGCCAAATATTCTACAATGCACAGAACAAAGCCCCCCTGAACACAGAACCAATCAGGCCCCAAATGTCCATAGTACTAAGGCTGAGAAACCAATATAGAAATTTACTTTCCTGCTGATATGAGCAAGTTCATCTCCCCTTCAAAGGCAAAGGAAGCTAGCCAGGTTAGCTTTTAAATAATTACTCTTTTCATCCTATTATGATTAAAAATAATTTGTGCTTGTCTTTCCCCAGTTAAGAGGTTTGGGGTATAGAACTTTTAATGATGTCTATATTCCATGAGGAATAATCATGTGACCTCTAGATTTCTAGCACTATTATCTCTAATAGACTATCCTAGCCAACATGGTGAAACCCTGTCTCTACTAAAAGTACAAAAATTAGCTGGGTGTTGTGGCATGCACCTGTATCCTAGCTACTCGGGAGGCTGAGGCAGGAGAATCCCTTGAACCCAAGAGGCAGAGGTTGCAGTAAGCTGAGATCATGCCACCATGCCACTGCACTCTAGTCTGGCCACAGAGTGAGACTCCATCTCAAAAAGCAAACAAACAAACAAAATTCATAATCTTGAAAATATAGGAACTAGCTTATTGTGTATCCTAAAAAGGAATAGGTATATAGGAAATTTTACTCCATAGGTTAGATTATACAATTATACTTGCATTGATGCAACTTTTTACAAACCATAAACATTTTAAAAAACTGGCAACTCAAGCCAGATACCCTAATCAGCATAGAACACACAGAAATTTCTAAGTCATCTTATTTTCTAATGAGTGCCAATTGTAGGTTACAGATGTCAACCAGATGGCATCAACCACAGGAACCAGGGTGAGAAGTTGAGATCAATGAGTGGTATGAAGAATCCCCTGGTTGAGTGCTTGGTTTAAAGATAAGATGTCTTAAAGAGAAGACAGACAGATGTATGCTCAGTGTTCAGCCCAGTTCATATGAAAGTAGATTCCAGCAAAGGGACCAAAGAAGGTATCCAAGGGCTTCGGACAATGTGTGTTCTGTAGGGATCCTGCTACTGAATCAGGCACATGTGCTACCATGATCTGAGAAGGGTAACCTGCTGGCCATGCAGATCTTCTGAGGGGGCTCACCAGGTGCTGGGTGGGAACAGCACAGGACAGAGCCACGATGTACCTCACATCTCCCTTGAGGTGGGAGCAGAGAGACTAGGCTTCCCTAACTAAAGTCTTCTAGGATCCACATAAGAAGATCCCCATCCATGATCTCTTAAAGACCCTTGTGTGTGGGAGAATGGACTCTGCCAAAGTATATGCAAATAATATACATGGTGGTTTTCATCTCTTGGTCCCTCAAATGAGCCAGTTCTTCCTGGGCAGGGCCTTGCACTCAATGATGTTCCCTTGCTTGGTCTGCTCCACATTCCTCATCCGCCTTTCCTACTCCTGCCTGTCCTACTCTGGGGTAAGAATAATATCTCCCTAGGGTTGTTATGAGGAATAAACGAATCAGAACATTAAGAGGTTCCTGATGCATTAAGCACTCCATATTATTAACTGTTATTAAATATAATTTTTTTTTACCAGATGCTATTTCCGTGCTTCCCCAGATTAGACCTTCTTGATCTTTCTATCTGGACTGATCACCCAATTCCATCTTCCCTCCTCACTGACCACTGTTGTAATTTTGTGTTATATTGTGATGTGTCTACTTGTCTCTGCAACCAGACAGAGGTTAATCCGAGGGCAGGGGATGGGTTATTAGGACCTAGCACAATGCCCTGCACATAGTAGGCACTCAATAAGCATTTAGTGAATGAATTAATAATTTTAAGTCCTTTCTTTCTCCCTTAAGAGAGAGAGGTTTTTCTCTGTCTATCGTGGAAATAAGCTTTAAAAAAGCAGAGGTGAGCTTTTATATAACTCTCTGGTCTGAAAATCCACACCGCCACAGTATGCTTAACTGCTTGGTTTATTTTGTACCTCAAGAAAAACAATCAGTAACATTGAATTAAAGAGTTACATAATGCAGTCTCAAGGACATCCCTGAATAGTTTTCAAAGTAATCAATGATATTGCTATGAAAATGTTGCCCAAATGCAGAGCTCTTGTCTGGTGAATCTGTGAAGTAATAGACAGATAATTTTCTTTGTTAATAATTTTGTGGTCAGAGACGAACCCATTCTGTGAGGCAGCAGTAAAAACTTTTCTCAGTAGGTGAAAATGTTCCAAATTTGTTTCCTAGCAACACATTCTTCAAAGGAGCTGAAGGATACACAATTTTAGAAGAATTTTCAGTGCCCTTTTTTTATTTGGCAGGGCAAGGGGTGGGAGGAAATGTATGTCAGACTGTGATCAGAACAGTGTTCCAGTTAGTGACACGTGTGAGATCTTGTCAGGTCAAACTATAGAATCCATCTAAGAAACTCAATCGAATAAAAACATATCAACCTCTTACCTGTAAAAAGAGGAATTATCTGTATTATTGATGAGCCTAGAAATTTAATAATTAAACAATTTTCAGTCTATGAGTCCCATTCCTAACCATCTTCACAGATAGTAAATGAGGCATTAGGTGGCTTGCTAATCCACAAAGGGATTTTCCAATGAGGAGGATGTTGATTGAATGATATTAGTTGGAGGAATGAAAATTGGAGAAATATAATCTGGAAGAGAAATGTAGGACAAGGGTACAGCTTTGACTGCCATAAATGGAGACATCTTACCCAAACAAGACCTTCTCCATAGCTACCTTTTCAGCTCCCATTTCATGGATTTATCATATATTCTTAATTTGGTTTTACAACTTGGCCTTCTGGTAATAATAACAACAGTAACAATACCAGGTAGTAGAGGGGAGCGTCCTGGAGAGAGGAAATACAATATGTCTGGTTGGCTAGCTCAATGGCTAAGACTTCCATCATTTTCTTGCTTCTGGTTCACATGGACATGAGTAGGACTTTTTCTAACTATTTTATATATTATCTTATTTAACCCTTACAGCAATTCTTTGAAATAGCCACTATTATTATGAGCATTGAACCAATTTGCCCAAATCACACTATTATTAAGAAATGGAGAGCCTGGAAAAATATTGGCCACTGAAGTAACTGATCTGACCTGTCCAGATCAATGTGGGTGGTGTGGAAAGATCTTTCTGTAGATCTGAGGATACCATGACTTGAGTGCTTCATCTTAGAGATGATCTGGAATCACGTGAATCTCCGAATGCAAATAGTTCATGTCAATCACAGGGACTTTCCTGCCATTTCCTATTAAACACACTACCCTAAAAAGTACCCCTTTTGCTATAACCACTATAAGTCCAATAAATTATGAATTTAGAAGCAAGCTGAATTGTCTAGTGGGCCGCCACACTGAACAAATTGCCTACACAATTGGCCTTCCAAGTGTAGGCACAGACTAATTGTTCCTCCCCTTTCACCAACATCTTGAACAAAGAGAAACCTGGCACTGGTTTCAATCCCCCTCCTCGCATCTCCCACAAAAGCTTTCTATTTCTTAGAAAAGAAACTGTCCATTTATCCTAATAAGTATGAACTGGGAAAACCATAATCCTTAGAAGCTTCATTTAAAGGAACAATGTGTCAGAACTTGGCCAACAAGAACAAGGTACAGCGTCAGTGTGCACCAGAAGCAAGAGAATGATAAGCATCTAAGCCATTGAGCTAGCCAACCAGACTTACGTTTTCATTCTCCAAGATTGTACCTGAGAGACAAAGTGAGCATCAAGTAGTCTTGAAGTTCTAGGATATTCAAGTGCAGGAAGCAGAGCATGCAATGAGATACAGCAGCTAGCATAAATGTTTTCTTTGTGGGCTACTGCTTCCTGTATCCCCAAGAAAAGTCTCCCAGTAAATATATACTCATCTGTAGGCTAGGATTCTCTCTCACTATATTTTTTTTCCTCAGTCAGTGACTTCAAAGGTGATTCTTTTTCGTTTTGAATTGATTACTGTACAATTTTTTGACATTCATTTTTTCTTTCTTTGTTTCAGAGGCTACTCTTTAAAGACAGGCATTTCACTTGCAGCAAAATGTAAGTACATTTCCTCCTTGAAATGGTATCTACTTCTCAGCTGTAATTCCTAAAGCCTCCTAATCTTTAAGGCTCCCATCTCACATTGCTGCATTTTTAAAGTCTGGCTCAACACACACAGCCAATATAACATTTCATACTATTGATTTGTATAACACAATGGAGCATTTGAGAAACCATTTTGGAAGCAGATTGAAACTAATTGGGGTTGTGACAGTATTGCATCTAAAAAGCTAGATAAAAGTGAGGAGTAAAAAGTGGGCAATATCCATTTAGATATTATGACCCACGTGACACTAAACATTTAGATACTCAGTTCTCTCAAATGACTAATTTATTTCTGTTTTCCCAGTTGCTCCTCACCGTGTAGTCACAGACTGTTTCTTATTTAACAGCATGGTAGTTACCTTAATAATTCCGTCCTGTGTGTACTGCAGTATGGCCACTCTGTACACCAGCATTCTCTCCAGAACTAATCTCCGTGTATTATGTTTCTTTATTCTTAGTCTATACCCAAATTACAAATCCCCTCTATTTTGAAAGACTGAATAAAATTATAGCAGATCCAAACTGGGAGCTCTGACTTTTGTCTTTGGAATTAGGGTGAATTTTTTTTCTTTTTTAATAAAATGAAGGTAAGAATAATTTTAACAAAAAAAGAGAAAGTTTCATGTGTCTCTGGAGTAATTTAATAATATCTAATTTCCAAAAGTAGGGAGTAGATTTAGATTTAATATAAAGACCTTAGCTATTCAAAAGTAGCTCAAAATGCAGTAAGTTGCTTGTCATTAAGCTAGTAATCAACTATAAGGTAGATGGTTGAGTCATGTACCCTCTTAGAGGGTACAACAACTCTCAACTTCTAATTCATATAGAATTTCCAGCAGAGAATGCATCTCAGCAGTCACTGAAGCATTTAATTAGACATTCTTATACCTATGAGAATCCAAAGAGCACAGTTGAATTATACACATTATACATGTTCTAATCAATTCTCTTTTGAATCATTCAGTCCCTGAGAAGATTATGTGTTCAGCTGAGCTGCAGGAAAAACTTAGTTTTTCCTGATTTCCCTGGATGATGGTTTTTTGTTTTCTCCCTAGAATAAATTGATCCCACTGCTATACATCAAATATTCAAGCATTAGCACAAAAGACATTCATCCTCAAAACATTCAGATTTAATGTCAATGTATTATGCATTCATTGGAGTTTTTTTTAAATGTCAATCTCTGTATTATCTTGCATTATCAAGACACCTGCATGCTATGAATGTTTTAAGTAGCTTTTACCGAGAAAGTCATGTTAGATTTGTTGAGTAGTCTCCTTTTCATATGCTATCATGAGTATATTGTTTGTACAAATGTTAACTTTTGACTGTGTTCTTTCTTTTGAACACAGAATGCTGTTCGGGGAAAATTGCCTATGTTTACTTTCTTGGATATTCATATTTGGTAGCTCTTTATCATACTGTTACTGCCTATTTAGGCGTACTAGTATTTTAAATGAGTTAATGTTAAATACTGAAAGACAGTTGGCATATATTAATGGTGAAATTTGATGAAGCCCACTTTATGGCAGCATTTTAAGTCATTACATGTAAATTTAAACACATATGTATTACTTCAGGATCTCTTTATCAAAATTTCAGTTGAAAACACCCTTTATCTCCTAGAATGCCGGGGGAAAAAAAAAACTGGTGCGAGGTGGTGGCTGTTTTACCTTAGAGGTCTCAATTTGTGATTGTTTGTTTTCTTTTCACATTTTTTTTCTCAGAAACATACAGAGCGCTTAGTGACCTATTTCATTAGTAAATATTTTGAGAAGGAAGCTTGCACTGGGATTATACACAATCCAGACAAAGTGGGTCTACCCAGCTCCCCAAGTAATCTCTAAGCAAGTGGGGAAAGGTTGGTCTGACCCATGGAGTCATGGAAATGCTTTAACATCACCAGGCAATCTTGACCTGGGTTCCTTTTGGCAGCTACATTGAACCAGCCCCTCTGGAGTTGACATTTTGTCCTAAGGATGGTTGTATTATTCAACCAATACAAATGGAAAATGACCTAATCAATGTTCCATTCAGACAAGATTTAGATCATAGTGAATGACAGGAGACTTTCCAAGTAAACATTCCGGAAATGTGTATGCAGCACATAAAATCTCAACCCATGGATGGTGGACAGCCTCAGCCAAGTCAGAAAAATATGCCCCATAGAGGAATAAGGCTGGGCCATGGCAGGAACTGAGGAGTAAAATCAGAAGGCTAATGGCTAAATCCCAGTTCACCCCTTCAGTAGTATGATTTGGAGTATGTTACTTAACCCCTCAGTTTCAAAGTGTCTTTTTGGGGAAGGGGAGAGTAAGGAAGACATTTTCTCCTAACCCCTTCAAAGGATTATCGTGTTAATCACATAATATTATGTTTTGGAAAAATTTTACCATCTAAAACTGCTTTGTATCACCAATGATCTTATTGAATTATTGGATACCCTCCTTGTTTTAGTGTGAGTCCTTGGGATTCTTTGGCAAGCTTTGGGCCTTCAAATTAATACCACACAATACAAGAAAATAGAACGCTACAACACTACTGGGCCAGGTCAGTGCCCTGTAAAGACTTACACCCACATTCTTTTGTTTCTTTTCAACTGCTCATGTTCTTTGGGACCACTGTCTCTGGTAGAAGAGAATTGTCTTCTGGGTGGTATGGGTGAGAAAGTTGCCAAAGGAACCTGAATTATCCAGAGGCCTGTAAAATGCGCAATTGCTTTTTAAGAGGCATGGTGATATTGTATGTTCCTTTCAATTTTTGGCAGTAACTGTTTTCTGCAATTTGTGGTTTTGCATTTTCTCTTTTCACAGACAACACCCTGGCTCTCATTCAATGCCCCATTGGTGGGGGTGAGGTGAGGGAAGAGAAAGATTCCCTGGGGCTCTGACTTCTCCAGAAAAAGAAGGAAATGTTAATGAAATAAGTCAGAAAGAACGCTGGAGACTAGTGAAAGCTGGTTGGTTATGGGGGAAGAAACAACTTTTAATAAATTATGGTGTGGCTAGGATTTTAGCTGGGGCTTTCATCATCTGGGTAAAGATCTGTTCTCTTAATTCTTCTTGCCTCTCCACAGAGCTTTGTTTGGATTACAATGTCAATCTTTTTTTTCTCCTGTATTCAACAAGCCTAGAGCAGCCTCTTTCACTGGCTCCTTGGCCTCTTCTACAGGGATTTTCTTTAAATATTCCATCTCAGTATCCATTTGCCAATTACATTAACTTGGTTTGTGTGAATTAGCTCAAGATCTATGCACAAGAATTTTTTGCCCTCATTCTGGATGCCTTTTCTTTCCCTTCCCTATAGCTTAATGCTCTTTGCAGAGGAGGTCTATGCTATGGCCAGCAAAGCAGTACAGGGATGTAGCATTTATCTAGGAGAGTGATTTGTTCTGTTTCTATTCATCACCTCTGGAAAGAGTTTGCAGACTTTTGTTTGCTTTTTTATGGCTGCTAGGCACTGTGCCAAAGGATTTAAAGTTGCATCCAGTGTTAACCTTGTATTCCTTCTCTGTTCACTCTTTTATATCAAAATAGTCCTCTGTTTCCCATGGAGTGGATTCCCAGGGCTTATGCCCATCGTTCATGAGCTTCCCATGCACAAAGGCCACATATTTCTTCTCTTGTTATGACCTAAATGTCACTGCTTCTTGTGCTTCTGTGAGGAATATAAAGGTAATTGCTACTCATATGTTAATTATAATCCCCCAAATTTCATGGATTATGGGAAAATATGCTTTTATTGTATATGTGTGCTAAATGTTTAGGGAATTAATTCTGTTATGGAATCACAAATCATGGAACTTTGATTTTGGAAGATGCTTTCAATATGATGCGGTTCAATAGCCCACCCCTAGCTGTCCTTCTCACAACATCTTCTCTCGAAGCCCCTCCTCTATCTCACATGGTAGCCTAATCCATTTTTTAATAGCTCAATATTCAAACTTTCTTTTGCTAACCTGAGATAACCTCCCTATAACTTTGGGTCATTTATGCTGGTTTTATCTTCTGGAGCAGCTCAGAAGTTGACTCCTTCCCCACATGACAACCCTCCAAATATACTGGAATCTGATCCCGTATACTCTCTGAGTCTTCCTTGTCCAGGCTAAACATCCCAGTTCCTTCAGCCATTCCTCATATGACTTGGTGTGGTTATCTTTTTCCATTTATCTCAGTTGCATTTTTCAGTGCTCCTTTCAAAATGTGATAGACTGAACTGAAAAGAATACTACTGAGATGACTGACCAGTAGAGAGTTTTTAGAAAAAAAACAAAACCAAAAAGAAATTCTCATTCTGGTGTGAGTTTTATTACAATAACTAAGAGCACATCAAAAATTTTAACAGCACTTTAGTCCTGAAATTAATCTAAAAGCTCTAGATACAAAAGCTGCTACAAAAACAGATTTTACAGTCATGTATCTTTGCACTTGGTTTTGAATACAATGCAAAATACATTTATCCCTGCAACACTTAGTAATTTCAGAATACAAGTAAAAACTACGAGGAGTTTTTTAAATTTGAATTATTTTAAATCATTTGCCAGTTTGTTCTGCCTCTTAGGTCCATTCAGGAGATTGGTAAAGACAGTGAATATCTGAATTTTAACTCCCTCAGAGGTGGAACCATGTTTTATTCATCTTTGTCTCTCCTGAAATGTCTGGATATTCTCTTAAACAACCAGATGCTCAGTAAATGCTTATATTAAATCAATCAACAGAATAAAATACAAAGTAACTTTCCAACACCCTGGACCTATCTTTAGAGTGATGTCTGTTCCCTTTAGAAACTAAGATAAATACTTACAATACACTATACTGCTAATGCTTGGCAATTTTGTGGCATTGTAGAGTTAACTAATAGTACCACCTCAAGGGCTAGATAGCCTGAATGCTGATCTTGCTAGATCTTACTGGTTATGTGCTTTGGAATAAATTAGGTCATCTCTCTGGGCC